TCCCATTCGTTGGCATTTGAAACATCTCAAAGGTGGAGGTATGAACTCTCGTACCAAGAAGCTTACAAATCCTAGCTTCACTCTTATCGGCAGAGTACTCCCTTCAAACTGAATCATTACGCTCATGCTTTCACATCGTTTATTGTCTTTCCACATCTGCAGTCTTCTAGCAGAGATCACTGTGCCTCCACTCAGACTTCCTTTAATATCATCCATATTTACATTAAGTGGTACTCCTGAAATAACCCCTCGAACTTTATTGCCCGTTTCTGTGCATGCTATCCTTCCTCCTGCCAGTGTTTTCATTTTTAGATTTTTTTGCTTCTGTTTTTCATCCTTGCATTTAATCATTATTGTGCCATTGCTAAGACAAGATACAGCTTTCACTATTCCTATCTCTTTCTCAATTGCTTTTGATAGTTTAACAGGATGAGTTTGTTGTTCTGACTGCTTAGCAAAAGTAATTATGACTTTAATTTCTCTTTCTTCCACCTCTTTATCAGCTTCAATTCTCGTATGTCTTACTTTAGTAATTGTTTGCTCACAATCAGATCCATCACCCATGCTGCTCTTTTTTTTCCTTTAATTGTATCTTACTTCCTGATAATCCATGTCTTGATCATTGTCGCCATTTTAAGTATCTCCCCACGCCATTCTCCCTTCCGCCATCTTTCCGCCAACACCCGGACTTCCTCTGGCAGCTCGAGAACCCAAAACACTAGCTATGTTTCCATCCAAAGATGCAAATTTAACTTATGCGCAAAACTGGAATATCGCATAAAACATTTGCGAATAAAGCACCGATTCCATCCAACGAGTCAAAGAGAACAAAATCATCACTTCCTGATAAACTGGCACTAAATATCTCTAAGAAAACTAGGAGAAGCCACTGAATATAATAATTTTCATATGTAATAAATGACTTGCGCTTCAGAGAGAGCAGACGTAACACAATAAATGCGGTCACTGCTTTCAGAGCTGGATGCTGCTGTTTGGGAACGCAGTCATGTAAGACAGTAATTATTCAGAAATACTTTGATGACAGACTTTCCTCAGGCATTTCAGAACGACCAAAACAACATAGATGCTGTGAACGAAATCAGTCCGCTGGTTAGTCAAGTTAGCCTATCCCGTCGAGATGCTGTGAACGAGATCGGTCCGCTGGTTAGTCAATTTATCCCGTCTCATAGCGCAAAGTCACATGACTTTTTCAGTGCGCATGGTGGAATTTATTCAGTAAATGTGTTTCCATCGTAGTTTATGCACATTTTTATGCATACAGTTTTGCGCATACGTTTTTTATGTGCATTTTTAGAATTTATACGCATCTTGGCATTTCCATCCAGCGTTTTTTTATGCGATATTCCAAAATGCGCATAAAAATAGGTGGATAGAAACATAGCTACTAACTCTACACTGCGCTCGACACTGCGCTGACTCTACACTTTCAACTCGAGGATGAAAATGCTACTGGAGGTGATGATTGACCTGGTTCCATAAAATACAGATCAGGCTACAGCATCCCTGTTTGATTTTAAAGGTTCCATATTATGCTTTTTCACTTTTTCAACTGTGTCGGAGACACGCTAGCTTTCCCAAGACAGACGAACTTAGAGTGGTTATAATCATCCGGGTTTAAATCGTGCTCAGATTGATTTGAATTTGATGCAATATTTACACTGAAGCTCGCAGGCGGCTATGGTAAGGGGCATAACATTTCCCGAACAGCCGCCGAGTGCTGCCAATCACAACACACACTGGCCCAGCCTAGCACTCACACACATCATCAATACATCTCTCCTCACAGGCACCTTCCCCACTGCATTCAGGCAGGCTCGGGTAACCCCACTGCTCAAAAAACTTACATTAAACACTTCACTTACAGATAGCTACAGACCTGTCTCTCTCCTTCCATTCATAGCGAAAACCCTCGAAAGAGTTGTTCAACCAGATATCGTTTCTTTCACAGAAATTCTGGCCGTCAGGCCGCAGCAGAAGGCCTTCGGCAAGCCTGGGCCGCGCCCCCGGATGCCGCCAGCCCCAGACCCCTCCTCCATCCACCGAGCGTCAGCTCACATCTCATCTCGGCGAAGTGCCGGCTTCCGTCTCCACAAGCCGCCGCATCAGCGTGAGCACTTCACGCTGCCTTCTCTCTTTCTTCCGCCACGCCCCTACCCACCCCTCCGAACGCCCTCGCCTGGGACCACCCACGTGACCAGCAACATCAGGACACAGATCTTATCAGGTGCTGATGTAGATCTTTTTTCCCTTTTGTCACCAATTTCACCTTCGTCTGCAGATCGGCAAATCGAC